ACATATGTTAATATAATATTTTATAAGTATTGGTATGTATATATGCTCCTGAAACCACTACCACAATGAATGTAGTAGACATATCAATCATCTCCAAGTTTTTCATAAAAGTTTTGCCTCTTTTTGAGTACTCCCCCATCCCATTATGTACCCAGTCTACGCAGACATTCAGTGAATGCACAAAGGGATAATTTTAGGTTTTACTTTGCAGATAACTAATTTCTGGAAAATGAAAATTAATATAAAATATGTTTTGTTATTTTAGTCTTTTGTGAACATCGTAATGAGTATAGTCTTTGCACCATTTCCATTCCTCCCAGTCCTCCACCAACTTTGACACTGAAAAGTCCAAGCATTCTAAAAGCAGAGTGCAATGTTCAGAGGGTGTACTAGCTACTTTCTGCCGCTGTAATAAAACACTGTGACCGAAAGGAAATTATACAAGGGAGATTGTATTTTGGCTTAGTGTCCCAGAGGGATAAATGTCTGTTTTGATGAGGGAGGCTCTGCATCAAGTATCAGGAATAGTAGCAGACCTTAAAAGTTGAGAGTTCACATTTTGAAGATGAAGCATGGAACTTAGAGAAACCTGGAAGTGGGGAAAGGCTTTGGACTTTCAAAGTTCACACCCAGTGATGTGCCTCCTCAAGCAAGGCCACTGCCTAAATGGCTAATGACCTCTCCCAAACAGCACCACCAATTGGAGACTAGTTCTTCAAATATTTGAGTCTTTGGGGGACAATTCACATTCTAACCACTATACTTTACTACCTGACCTCCATAGATTTGTGGCCATCTCATAATGTAAAATTCATTTAGCCCATCATAAAAAGTCCCTGTGGTCTCTTACATCCTCAACATTGTTAAAAAATTTCAATGTCTCTTCTTGAGATTTAAGGCCATAACCTTGTCTTTCCCTGCCACCATAACATTCAAAACAAATTACTTAGAGCGAGTACATGTGGACAACACTGCCAAGTTCTGCTGTCAGCTTAGCATGAACCATCACCAACTTTGGCCACATTAGCAGAAACTTTTGAGTGTTGGATAATTGTTTTCTAGGAGTAAAGAACACCTTATTGGGCTAGGAAAATGGCTCAGTGGTTAAAAGCATTTATTGCTCTTCCAGAGGACCTGGTCTAGGTTCCCAGGACCTACATAGTAGTTAACACCCATCCTTAACTCAAGTCAAAAGGGAGCCTATGCCTTCTTCTGGCCTCCATGGGTACCACGTACAGACATGGTACAATTATATGTGCTTAGACAAAACATGCACAGACATAAAATAAAAATAATTAAAATAATTTTTTTAAAAAGAAAAGGCCTTAGGCTCCCTTCACAATATGGAAACTTAACTGGGTAGAAACTTGTTCTCAGTGCACACTTTCCATTGTTCAGGGCAGAGCAGGAGTTGTAATGGCACTGATCTCCTTCACAGTTCTATTTTTTCTTACAAAACGTGCCTTTCCTGCAATGTTGAGGTTCCCAGTGTTCTTTTTATTTCCAAATTGTACATTTTCTATTTCTTTCTGCCCCACTTGCTTTTAATTTATTGTAAACTTACATAGTTCTTACAGATAATAACCAAAGAACATATTCAATGTTATGTTGCTTTGGAATTTCCTTCACTGAAGAAATTACTCCGGTACATTTTTTCTTTTATTTTATGTGTATGCACCTATTGTCTGCATGTATGTAAGTGTACCCGTGTCATTCAATGCCCACAGATATCAGAAGAGGGCATTGAGTCCCTAGAACTGGAGTTTTGAATGGTGTTTAGCAGCCGTGTGGGTGCTGGGAACCAAACCCAGGTCCTCTGTAAGAGTAGCCAGTGCTACTAGTTGCTGAATCATGTCTTCAGACCCTCCATTACTTTTTTAGTTTAGCCTCAGATAAGTTCTTATGACAGTAGCACTAAGCAGCCATTTTTTGGGAGGGGGGCAAAATACTGCATACATGGCCTCTAGTCTACTTGATGATACTGATTCCATCTAAGCATTTTGATCTGGGCTGCCACAGCCTGTACTCCTCTCAGAACTACTCTCAATCTCAAACTAGAATGGCTCTTAAGCTCTGCTTACAGCACTCAATCTCTTTTCTAGTCCAAAGTTTTCCACATTCCTCCAAAAATAGCGTGCTCAGTTTCTTTGCAGCAGCACCCTATTCCTTGTATCAATTCCTTTATTAGTCATTTTTCTGTTGTTGTGATAAAAATACCATGACCAAAAGCAACTTATAGGAAAATGTCTATTTTTTTCTTATGGTTCCGGGGGATAGCTGTCCACCCTGGCAGGGGAGGCATTGCAGCACATGGCAAGCATTTGGGCTGGAGCTGAAAGCCGTGAGATCCCTTGTTGAACTGCAGACCTGAAACAGAGGGAGCAAACTCGATATTGGGCAAGGCTATGAATTCTCAAAGCTCTCCACCAGTGACGAGCCTTCTCCAGCAAGGCCATACCTCCTAAAAGTTCCATGACCTTCTTCAAATACAGCCACCGACTGGGATAGGCTGTTCAAATGTTTGACCCTATGCGAAAACAGTTTTCATTCAAACCGCCACAGAGGGAACTACAGAGGCTGTGTGAAATAGGTGGAAGACATTCGGGTTACAGACTAGCCTTGCATCTAGTTCCACTGTCTTGACTAGAGCAAAGATCATTTTCAAAGTAATGGTCTGTTGAGTTTGTGAAGGAAATTTCAAGGAAGGATATCATTTAGTCTGCTATATGATTATTACCACCACTCTTTTACAGGTGTAGAGAGTAAAGGAGCAACATGTGGGACAGAAATATATGTGCCCCTGGTTGAGGAACAAAGCTCCACCAAGTTTAAAGCTGCAGCAACACCATGTACTTTAAAAAAAGCCTTCTTTGGGTTTCTCAGGTGTGCTCCTGCTGCTCTACCAAGATGCATCCCTTTACACCTGGCGACAACAGAAACAAGTACCAGTATGCTTATTTTCCTGTTGCTCACTCTCATTTGTATAAGACATTTCTTCCTCTTCAATACAGAGATTTTTGTCTGTTACCATCTGTGGTGTTCTGGCAGGTTCATTAACTCAAGCACATAGTATGTTTAAAATTTAAATTTTATCTGCCTTCTTACCGCTATAGACAACACGTCAGTCTCATAAAATTTAAATTTTATTTTTCTTTAGAATTTCATACATAGTGTACCTATATGAATTTTACCCCTCCCTCCACCTACAACTGCTCTCCTATCAACCCCCACTTCTCAAATTCAAATTCATAGCCCTTTTTTCTTTAATATTTATTAGTATACACATATATAATTGTCATGTTATATATGAGAATAATATTGTCATACCTATAGATATAGATTTAGATATAGATATAGATATTGTGGTATTTTTGAATGAGAATGTCCCCCACAGGCTCCAAGTATTCAGACATTTTGTCCCAAATTGGTGACACTGTTTCAGGAGTTCTTAAGCCTTGCCATCTCTCTAATCATTCTCTGCTTCCTGTGATTGCTTGAAGATGTGAACCTCTGCTTCCTGCAGCGGTCACCTCCTGCCAGCATGCCCACCTGTCATGATGGAGTCTAATCCCCCTGGAACTATAAGTTCAAATAAACACTTCCTTTTATAACTTCCTTTGGACAAAGTGTTTTATCACAGCAACAGAAAAGTAACTAATACAGATATAGATGTAAATGCAGATGTAGTTATGAGAGTGAGAATTGGATTTCTCCAGAGCTGAGTTCTATGGTAGGTTATTCAGTCCCAAGTGGCCAACCATTGGCACACATTTATTTTTAAATGTATATATTTTATTGGAGTTTTGTGTACTCCATATAAAACATCTTATTCATCATTATGCCCCCTCTCCAATCCTCAACTTCCAGAGTGCTCCCCATGAATTTCACGCACATGGATATTGATGAGCTTCTGCTCTAGCCATATCTCTTCAAGTTCAAATTCATATACCTCACCTAATATCCCCCAGAGCAAGCCATGCTGGTATGTCTAGTAATAAAATATTTTATAAAACAATGTATTTCAGATAATACCTAAGTAACAAAAGAAATACTGTAGTATAGGAGCAGAGTCTAAAGTTGTCACTACTAATTTGCTAATAATTAGTTACCTAAGCTTGACTAGAAGGAAGAATTTTTTTCATTTTTAAAAAATTAATTATTTTATGGCTGGCCATGGTGGCTGAGCCTTTAGTCCCAGCACTCAGGAGGCAGAGGCAGACAGATCTCTGTGAGTTTGAGGCCTGCTGGGTCAACAAAGTGAGTTCTAGGCCAGCTGGGGCTATCAGGAGACCCTGTCTCAAAAAGTCAAAAAAATATTTTATTGAATTTTTGTGATTTTCATACAACATAGCTTGGTGGCATTTAGATCTGCTCCCTTCTCTCACCTGTCCCTGCCAAACTGAATAATATATATGCTTATAGAGTATGATTTGTGTCCCCTAATTTCCTTCAATGTCAGTCTATTCACTGGGCCCACCAAGAGTCCCAGCTCTGTAAGATACTACCTCCCCCTTCCAACAATTGTCAATTGCCAAATTTTTCTCAAACTGGGTTGGGATTTTTTACCTACTTCTCCATGTCTATGCTGGAATTTTTTCTGGCTTGACCTTGCATAGTACTTGTGTATGCTGTCACTATTGCTATGACTCAATATTAGTAAATGACCAGCTGTCTGGAAATCTCTGCTTCCCTGTGATCAAGCACCTTCTCAGCTCTTACATTCTTTCCACCTCCTCTTCCACAATGATCTCTGTGTTTTAGGAGGCAGAGATTTTTAATAGCTGTCTTATTCAGGGATAAGCAATTTACAGCCTCTTGTTCTCTGCACATTGGCTAATTGTGGGTCTCTATGTTAATCACCATCTGCTGCATAAGAAAACTTTTCTTGTGAAAGTTAAGAGATGCATTCATCCTAAGGGAAAGGGTTCCTTTGAAGATGTTCCACTTAGGATTAAACATCTCACAGACACTTTTTCCCCTAGTTCTAGAATTCTGTATTAAAATATATGGAAGGAGTTATGAGTTTGTGTGTCATTCTTGCACAGGGTCCATGATAATCATCTCTGTGTCATTCCAATTTCAGTATATGTACTGCTAAAATGAGCACCTTTTCAAATTTTAATTAGCATTTTTTAATGTGTATGAGTGCATTGCCTGCATGTATTTACATGTACCAATGTCATGTAGTGCTTGTGGAGGACAGAGGAGGGCATTGTATACCCTGGAACTGGAGTTACTATTGTTTGTTAACCACCATGTGGGTTTTGATATTCGGTCTCTGGTCCTCTGCAAATCACTGAGTCGTCTCTCCAGCCCCTTGAGGTACATTATTAATTTCACAAATTAAAGGGTTTCATGTGATATTTGATCCCTAATCAAACCTATCTTCCATTTATTCTATGTATGCCATCCTGCTAATTTAATGTACTCATTGAATATTCACAGAATTTACCCAAATGGAAAATGTTGAGACAGATTATAAATGAGTTTGCCTATGTTGTTAGAAACCAAAGGAGGAAAATTAAAATTTTGGACTCAGACAGGTCAGTTCCATATTGAAACTGAGTTTGGTTTGTTTTATTTTGTTTTTGTAGTACTCTACCAGGTGTGACTAATGCTCTGTTGCTGAACTATGTACCTACACATGGTGTGATACTATTAACGGTTGATTTTCATATGATGCAAAGATTATGAATGTTTAAAGCAAGTGTATTTGTGTAGGTATCTGAATACACACCTATTTGTTTCTGACCTCAGGCATATTACTTAAAGTGATAAGTGTAACTTTAAATAATTTTAGAATATTGTACCTATTTTGAAAGGTTTTGACGTGAATTAAACTACACCATAGAGGTTGTAACTCTATTCACAGTACTTGACATATTACTGGTTTTCAGTAAATTTTAATATGTTTCCCTCTCCAAGTACTTTAAAAAATATATGTGACTTCAAAAATTTTATGTTTATCCTTTTAGTTCTTGCTTTAAAATGTTAAATTTATGCTCTCATTTTGTGTAACAGCTCTTTCAAAATTATTTTGCATTTCAAAACTCATTTTTCTACTACCTAGTTCAATGATAAAGGTGAAAGGGCTTTATATTACCACATTCTGTGCTATTTGAAATAACTCTGTAAAGAGAGGATTAAATGAAAATTCCCCTAATCCCACATGTACCTAAAATTAAACTTAGATGTGGTCATATAATTTAATGTATGAAAAATGAAACTTTCCACTACCATTTACTTAGAAGATCAATTAATTCTTAGAAGATGGGAATTGCAGCTTTTCATTACTGGTGATTATAAATTATATTTTATAACAGATATATAAAATATTGTCTTCATAATGTTTTTCCCATTAGTTAACAATGTGTTTCTTATAAAAGATTCTGTAATACTTTGATGAAAATACTGAATAGTTCGCAAGATTTATGCAACTTGATTTAGTATCATGATTTTCATGTAGTTAAGGAATAAAGAGGTTTTGTGCTACTGCTTTTATTATTTCTGATTTTGATCATTTAATTAACAGCTAAATTTAATCCACATATCAACTTTGAAAGCTCATATATATTTCAGAAAAATATAAACAGAAAGACACCTTGAGAATATATTGATATAACTAAACTGCAGGCTGTCAATTAAGAACAAATGTATTATTGTGAATTCCTAGGCTTACCACAAAAGAAATGATATAAATTCTAAGAAAATGTTTCAATGAAATTAAAAGGAAAAATATTTAGAGGAAGTAACATGATTTTTTTTTCTTTGTGGGTGGGGCAGTGTTTTTTTTTATTATAAACTGGATAGTAGATTGTAAATTAACCATATTTTGTTATAAAAATTGAAGTAACTGACAATTTGTTATAAAATGGCGAATATTAATCAAAGTCTCTCATTTCTGTAAAATCTCAAGTGGTATTTTATAAGGAGGCTTCTGCATCAGGCTGGATTATCCACAGCAATTATGGCTGTACATAATTGTAGGATTCAAAGCATGGTAGCAGTGAGATAATGCATTGTTTTCCTTTGTTTATGCCAAATTTCTACATTAAGATCTTGATCAAGAATCCCAAGATTTAGGGCTAGAGAGATGGCTCAGTGATTAAGAGCCCTAGCTGCTCTTACAGAGGACCTAAGTTTGATCCCCAGCAGCCATAAGGTGCTTAACTCTTTTCTATAACTCCAGTTCCAGGGGATCCAATGCCCTCTTCTGACCTCTGTAGGTATTGTGTAACAGCAGTGCTTTTACATACATGCAGACTATACACTTTTACACATAAAATACAATAATAAATAAAATATAAAAGCCCCAGATTCAGCACAAAAATGTATTAAGGAAATAACTGTTTTTAAATTTTCTTTTCCTATGCTATTTTTGTATGAAATAGATTTGGGGCTTTATTTTTAAAACACTTAAATATAGCTTTTAAGCATGAGACACAGGAGAGTGCAAGGACTTCAAAAAGAAAGAGTGACACACCCCAAAGTGTGGGTATGGATGTTTCAGGAGGAGCAGCCAATCAATCTAATTTTAATATTGTCTGAATTATATTCCTATAAATGTGATTATTCCTAACTTAACAATTTCCTACTTGTATAATTTTGTGTATATATTGTTAGACATTTATCTTAGAATTTGTCTTTCTTATTAACTAAACTCACACTGTATGGTTCAGATTAAATTACTGAAAATATTTGTCATCATGATTGAGTCAATGTTTAATTCTCAGTCAATATGGTGCTTGTTTTTGTGTGTTTTATTACTGCGTGGTGTTTTAATGACTGACAAAGTATTGTCATTTTTCCTTAAAATGAGTATTCGTAAAATGTCAGAAGTTATGAAATTTTGCAATGGAGTACCTTGTGTAATTCAGGTATGGTTTGGAAAATCCATGCAATTATCTTATCATAGTCTAATAAGTTCCCAGGAAAAGCCTGGGAACCTGAGTTTGGTACTCCATCCAAAATGACAATGAATGAATGAGGGTAGGCTTGAGAATTAACATATCAAAATGATGAAAGGCAATACGCCCATCTTTATTGAACAAAATGAAGATTGAGAAGGATGCTTGTGATTGGCCAAAAGAGATACTCTAGAACCAGGGATGAAGAGGAGGGATAGTCTATTAAAATAAGAATGAATTCAAACTTGCACTACCCCAATGAAACTGGAGAAACCCCTTTTAATAAAAAGGTGAAGTCCTTATGCAAGAGCACAGTTCAAAGATTCATCCAGTTTCAAGAGGTATCTGGGGGACCAAGTGTCACCAGAGTGGTGTAGCAACACTACATAGAATAAAATATCTTATTACTAATAGGATGAGACTAGTGTTTATTACAATGATATTAGCTTTAGAAGTTCTTCATAAATGTTACTTTAATTATTTTTACTAGGAAACAGGAATTAAAAACCTTCTAAAACTTTCAGGACATCCTTTATTTAGAAAAAGAACCCATATTCTATTCATTAAATTGATGAAATGCTAACATTTCTACTGACTCCACTTTTATATTTTAAATTTTGGCAAATAATAATTACATATATTCATATATATAATATATATGATGTCTTGTTATACATTTATAGTATGTAGAATAAAACTAAATGATAAACTCACAGATATATTCTGGCCATTATCAAATGGATGAGTAATATGATTTTTATATCCTCCATAATTTACTCAAATGATGGCACATGAAATTCACTGAATCATTTTTTCCCCATGTATCATTTTCAAACTTTGCTCTATATTGTATTTTTCCATAGAAATAGCCTATACAAAAAATACCACCCATCACTTGATGCCAGCTAGAAAACAGGAAAATGAATTATTGCTCAAATTTTTGTCATAATTCTATGTTTTTTCCTCCAATGATATAACAGACTTTCTGGGAGATTGAATATTTTCAGCCTCTGTGCTTTCTGTTTCTAAAAGAGGCAGTATTATAGCACAGAATGTGTTGTGGAAGGTATTATACAAAATCTGAAAAATGGGCATAAAATAACTACCAGTTTGCAAATAGGAAGTGTGTATCCAGCTTGCATCACAGAAGCAAGTTCAAAGGCACTCTAGAGAGTAAAATTATAAGATTCCTGGGTGGATATTTAAAATGCTGTAATGATGTGATTCATGATTTTATATGTGACAGTGCTTGTAACGGATAAAGTCTGACAGAAAAATGTACCCTATGGAAATTAACCACGAGGTCTCTTCTTTGAGCCATGGGATCATTTGAGCTAGTGGACTTTCTCTTTGATCCTGGAAGCTTTGCCTTTTATAACTGTATCTTTTCCCAATAAACTTCTCCTGCTTTTGCTATAATTGTATGTCTCTGGTCAGTTCCTCTTTCAGGGATTCAGTAACCTGGAACCCTTGAGAGGTATCCCCTAAGCCTCAACATCCCCTGGTGTCATAAGATCTTTAATTAGATGTTTGCTGTCAGGCATATGATCACAAGCACTTCAGAAAGGAGGATCCTCTGTCTAGATGATAAGGAAAGATTGTTCAAATACTAAGGTAATAAATAATGCTAATAATATTGTAAAATATTACAGGGTCAAAACCCGAGACATCAAAAGTTTTAATTTACTTTTGGTGTTTATATTATTTATTTTAGTGGTTCCTAATTACATGAATAAAGTTTCATCAAGAAGACTTAAATCTAAAAATCTTTATTCTCAATTAATGGGTGAAAGTCTATATTGATATCCAGAAGTACACTGATATGTGATTTTAGGCTTCCTCTCACTATTCACTTTAGGTGGGAGAATAGTTACATCAGTAAAGTCACATGATGCTATGACATTTTCACAGATAATAATTCATTACACATTACCAAATGAAAATCCATTTTCTTTAATATTTTAGTTATTATTGTTTTTGTTTTATTTTATGTGTATGAGTGTAATGTCTGGAGGCACATAAATGTGCTGTGCTGTGCAATGCCCACAGATGTCAGAAGAGGGCACTGGATTCCCTGGAACTGGAGTTATGGATGGTTGTTAGTCACCTTGTGGGTACTGGGAATAGAACCCTGGTCTTCTGCTAGAGCATTCAGTGCTCTTAACCTCTGAATTATCTCTCCAGCCAGAAAAATTCATTT